TTTTCAGACAAATTCTAGGATCTGTTAGAATACCCAGCAGTCCATAAGCGCTTAATATGAAGGTTAAGCTGTCAAGTTGCCTGCCTGGATTTCCAAGTATCTGGATAAATAACCCTCATATAGTTGTGTCAGTTGAAGGTCATAGGGAGTATAGAACTACGGAGGCCTTGAGGCAATTGTGATTATTATCACACACTATTTCTGGGAGGTAAATTTCATGCTGATAAAGGTGCAGGCAGTGATGAGTCCTTGGCCTTCAGCCGCTTGTAAATCGTTTGAGTCTTTGCCCTGGAATGAATCTTTAATATGTTTTCGGATGTCACAGGAAAAAACCACCAATGCAAGTGGTTCTGCCATGACTGTAGTTCCTTAGTACAGTGTAGGAGAGGACAGTTTAAACAGTTTTTACCCCTTCTGAGTACCAGTTTTTGGAGGTGTGAATTGTATCGGAGTCTTTCAGAAAAACATGGTAGGCTTCTTAATTCATTTTGCAAAGTACTCGATGAAGGATTTTTGCCAGTGCCTTATTAAGTTTTCTGACTGCATTTAGGCCCTTTTCTCATCCATAGATGCTCCTGTTCTTAAATTAATAATTTTTTTGAAGAACCCTTTTAATATCTTAGGAGAATACAAAGAGATCATAAGCTATTCTTCGAGGAAATAAGATGGTTGGGCAAATGTATGCCAAATCATGTAAGCCCAATTAGGTTGTTTGCCCCATGCCAGTGACCTGGCCTCTTTCCTTACCAGGGGATGTTGACATCTGTGATGACTCTTCAGTGCTGTACCCTCGATGCTCATTCCCTGCTGTCCTCTACTGGCTTCATTTACGTTGAAACATTTCTAGCAACCTGTAATCTTTTTCTTCTTCCTTTAGAATTAAAGTAGTACAGTGAGCAAATCTGGAAGCTTATTTTTATCCCAATATGTCTTGGAGAAGTTCCACATTTTCTGCAACTTTATTCGTAGGAGCCAAATCCAAATTAGAGTTTTTAGATCAGCTTGGGATGTGAAAATCTGTTATTCCTGCAGCCTCTCTTTTTGAACTTCCTCTTTTCTCTTATGAATTGTCATTGTGCTTTTAGGGGCTAGGGAGTGGGGAAGTGTAGTATCTGATGGGTGAACAGATTCTGAAGAAAGGAAGAGTGGAACCACACTGGCAACTACACCTTGCTTTGGGATTTGATTAGTTCCCAGACCTTTTTGCCCTATAGTTTGTGTATATCCCCGGTTCTAAAGCGGTCCTTTGTTATGCTTTTTGTTTTAGTTGATGATTCAGAAAAAGTTATCACAGGACCAAGAGGCCTTTAGGAATCTTCATGGCTAAATATTCCTCTGCAGATTATTTGGTTATTGCTGACTTCAAGGCCTCTCCCTGTGGATGCCTGCTAATCCCTCTGAGGTGGAGAGTGCAAACTGAACAGTGCTGCGTCCCACTTGAAAGGACTCTCAGGCTCTCTGGCTTGCGCTGCCCCAAAGAATCCATCAGATTGTTAGTCTTTCTTGGCGTCTGTGCATTCCACTTCTTTCAGACATTCCTTTTGTGAGGAGGCAACGTGGAATGTGGAGAGAGCATGGGTTGTAGACTGCTTCAAATCCACGTACACAGTTTATTAACTCTATGATCAGGGACAAGTTACTGAGTTTCCTCATCAGTAAAAAGGGGATAATAAGACTGGCCTCTAAGGGATTGTTGTGAGGCTTAAAGATTATGTGTAAAGTTTATAGCATAATTCCTTAATCCTCTTGTCCTTCCATACCACTCAGTTGCAGAACCCTAAGCCTAAATCACTTAATACTTTTCTTTGTTCCTGCATCCTGGCTGCTAGGTGTGGCTAGAAATCCAAGGTCTATGACCTCAGCTGAGACCTTGCAGTTTTTTAATGTGATTTTAGTCAGCTTTCTTCCTATCTTATGCAGAGGTCAGAAATTGGTGGCCCAGAAGCACTTGGTTCTATAGGCATCTTTTGTTTGGCCTTAAGATAGTTTTTCAAATGCTGGGATTGGTTGCAAGGATTTAAAAATTATGAGATTTCAAATAAAAGTTAAAATGTCTAGCTTCTTTTGAAAAGTTGGGTGATCTGAAAACCTGGGGTGCTGTAGCAGTTTCTCCCTTGAGACAGTCCCATCTTCTGCAGTTTGCCACTTTGTCCGCCACACCCTGTGGACTTATACTGGTCCATTAGACTCAGTTATGTTGCTCTCTTAATCTGTGGGCGTTTACTTTGTGGTCTTGTCCTGTGGGCTCTCCCTCTTTAAAATCCCTCAAATCTGTCCTCTTCTCTCTATACCCAAAGCCCTCATCGTTTATAACCTGGAGTACTGGAATAGTGTCCTAAACATCTTCTTATCTCTAGTATTGTCCCATTTGAGTCTGTTTTTACAGTATTATCAGATTCACCTTTCGAAATTGCAAATTGAATCACATTACTCTCGTTTCAAATTCTTCATTGCCTTTCCACTTTGTATTAAGTGAAACTGAAACTCCTTAGCATGGTGTTGCAGTTCTACATGTTCTCGCTGCTACCTCTCTAGCCACTTAACCTCTCTGTGCCTCAGTTTCCTCCTGTGGAACATGGGGGAAATAGTAGTTCTTACCTATAGGGTTATAGTGAAGTTTAAATTAAAATGCTTATAAAGCCTTTGGCACAGCAGTTGACACTTAGTAAGTGCTCAGTAAATATTAGCTATTAGTATTGTGATGATACCATGTTTTTGTTTTCGTTTCTGGACCCCAGGCCTTCATATTTGCCATCTTTTCTACTCCGAATTCCTTTCTCCTATCTTCAGAATTCAGCTCCTATGTCACCTTCTCCACAGTACGCTCCCTGACCCTCCGTGACCCCGTGGCACCTGTGCACACCTCTAGCAGTGAGCTTTTCATGTTGTGGTGAAGTTGTCTCATTTCTTATTCTTCTCATTTAGGCTCTAAAGCCCTTTGGAGACATGTTGACCATTGTGGATCTAGCATTTTAAATGTGTGACAAATTAATGAATGAGCATCAGCATGGTTCGTGGTAGAAGATACTTGATTAATATTACTGCTGTTATTTTTAGGGAATTTAGAAGAGGTGTGCACAGGTGCCATGGGATTATGGAGGGTCGAGGAGCATATCGTGGAGGAGGTGACGCATGAGCTGAATTCTGAAGGATGAGTTGCAATCAAGGGAAGAATAGGAATAAAGAATTCAGAGTAGAAAAGACAACAAATATGAAGGCCTGGGGTCCAGAAACAAAGACAAAAAGATGGTATTATCATAATACTAATAGGCATGAAACTTTTTTAATTAACCTGTTGACTCAAATTTGTGTAGCACTGATAGCTATTCTTTAGTTAGTATGTTTTTTCCCACAAATGAAATAACTTTATTTCTGACCATAAGTGATATGTGCCTTTGTAGAAAATTGAAAGAAAACAAAAAAGTATAAAGAAGAAATCTGGGGCTGGCTCAGTGACATGGTGGTTAAGCTCGGTGTGCTCCACTTTGGCTGTCTGAGTTCAGATACCAGGCACGCACCTACACTACTCCTCAGGCCATGCTGTGGCAGTGACCTACATGTAAAATAGAGGAAGTTGGGAACAGGTGTTAGCTGAGGGCCGCTCTTCCTCAAGCAAAAAGAGGAAGATTGGTAACGGATGTTAGCTCAGGGCCAATCTTCCTCGCCGAAAAAGAAGAAGAAATCTCACTACTCAGAAATAACTAATATTATTAAAATACTTTAAATATATGCACTTATATTTGTGCTCCTCAATTTTCATATTTAAAATCTCACCTGTAAATGAATCTTATTTTACAAACAGCATTAAAACGTCTAGTTTAATGTAATGAAGTCACTACTATTGTGTTGCACATTTCAAGCAGCTTCCTGTCTTAGGTAATGAAATTGCCTGCTGCTAAGATAGCCATGTGCTCTAGAAAAGAAGCCTGAGATCCAGTCTGTCATATTACCGTGTTATTCCCTTGCTTTATATCTGACCATTCACTTAACCAATGTATGCCACTTCGTCTGTGCTTACAGGCCATTCTCTAGGAATGCAGCAGTTTAAGTTTGGAGAACTCAAGCTAACAACCCAGAAGAAAGGAATTAATCATCTGTGGAAGCCAAGAATGTCTTTTTTAGGAGAAACTTCTTGTTTATGCCCTGTACCTCTCCCATTCCATGTGGCCATTGGCATAATTAACATGAAATTTGTGGAAATGGATCTCCCAGATGTTCCTCTCTATGCATGCCTTCTTTTCCTTTTCTCCTTGTATCTGGGGTCCCATTTCCACTCTCCCCCCCCCCCCACCTCCACCCCATCAAGATTTGTTTTACAGAGGAAGTGTATTCTTATGCATCTTTCTCCTTTTTGTAGTATATTCTTTTGGTGATTGTCCACTTCCATTTTTGTGACATGTCTCTTTCTGGGGAGTGATACAGGTCTGCATTCTGTAAAGTGAACTTTTTCTAATAACCCCAATTTATATCAACTGTATTAACTTTTTGTTAATGGTGAGACATTCTGTAGTGGCAACAGATTTTAGCCTGCAGTGTGGGTAGGCTGTTCGAATGAATGAAGCTTGCTGTATTTAGGTTTCGTCCTCTAATCCAGTTCCTGGATTTGGGAATGGTTAGAATATAGTCATTGTAATGAGAAATATCAACTGTCTTTTTTTTTGAGGAAGATTAGCCCTGAGCTAACATCTGCCGCCAATCCTCCTCCTTTTTGCTGAGGAAGATTGGCCCTGAGCTAATATCCATGCCCATCTTTCTCTACTTTATATGTGGGATGCCTACCACAGCATGGCTTGACAAGCAGTGCGTAGGTCTGCACCCAGGATCCGAACCGGCGAACACCAGGCCACCAAAGCAGAACATGTGAACTTAACTGCTGTGCCACCAGGCTGGCCCCCTCAGCTGTATTTTATAGACAGTGGTTCTTTCCATTTCTCCAGTTTCTGCAAGTTCTCTTCCCAAGTGTTATTTGGTGCCTGTGCTTACTTACCTTTTTATTTTAGATCACAGATTCTGCTGGCCATATTCTGTACTCCAAGGAGGATGCAACCAAGGGGAAATTTGCCTTTACCACTGAAGATTATGACATGTTTGAAGTGTGTTTTGAGAGCAAGGGTAAGTAATCAGTGTTTTCCCTGAATTAAGCATCTTCTCTCAAGTTAGAGCGAGCATAAACTTTCTCTCTTGGGCCAGCAGGAAGAGGAAATGAAAACTACATTTGTTGGGGTGCACGTACATGTAAGTGAAAGTTGGCTAATGAGTGGAGTTCTTCATGTGCAGGAGTAGGCATTTCTTGAATGCTGTGATGTACTTGGCTTGAATGATAGAGTTGAGTCTGGACTAGATGCTAGAAAATATTGCAATTATATGCTAGTGACACGTTTTCTCAGGGATTACAAGTAGGATCTGTCTGACAGATAAGATATGGTAAAGTCAGAAGCAGTTTTGGTCTCCAGAGCACTTGTTACTTCCTAGTGCTAATACCTTTCTGTGGCTTCTTCTGTGCATCTCAAGGCCAAGATCCCATAGGAGCTTGTAGGCTGATTACCTGATGGCTTCTCTGCTCAGTGGTGGGTAAGAAAGCAGATTCCTTTTCACTCCCTATTCTTTGGCTTCAGGAACACTAGACTCTAAAAGCTATATGAATGTATGTTTGTTATATTAGTTGGGACCCTCTTGGGCTGCAAGACATAAAAACATAAACTGGCTTGAAGATAAGGAGCATTTGATTCCCTGAACCTGGAAGTCTGCATTGTGGGGCTGACCTGAGGCAGGGCCGCATCTTGGGGTTTTAACAGTATCATTGGAACCTTACTTCTCTTTTAGTGCTTCCTTTCCTTGCTTCCATTTGACTTTATTTTCAGACATTTTCCATATGGTAGCAAAAGGACTCCTGGCAATTATACCTTTATAGAATGTTCAAAACATGATCCTAGAAGAAGGGCAAGCACCTTTGCCAGTAGATTCTCAAGAATAGCACATCAACCTAGCTGCTTTCAACAGTTAACCAAGAATAGACTCCTGTGTACTGGGGGGATTTGGGGAGGAAAAGCGAAAAAGAAAAAAAAGAATTGACTCCCTTGATCTAAAGTGCGTCAGTTATTTAGCCTAAAAGCTAAGGGAGTTCACCTGAAGTAAATGGAATAATAGATTAAGAATAGAAAATTATGGGGGCCCGCCCTGTGGCCAGGTGGGTAAGTTCACACACACTGCTTCAGCGGCCCAGGGTTTTGCCGGTTTGGATCCTGGGCGTGGACATGGCACAGCTCATCAAGCCATGCTGTGGCGGCGTCCCACATGCCATATCTAGAAGGACCCACAACTAAAAATATCCGACTGTGTACTCAGGGGGTTTGGGGAGAAAAGGGAAAAATAAAATCTTTAAAAAAAAAAAAAAATAGAAAATTAAAGGTCTTTTTTTTTTTTTTTTTAAAGATTTTTAATTTTTTTTCCTTTTACTCCCCAAAGCCCCGCAGTACATAGTTGCATATTCTTCGTTGTGGGTCCTTCTGGTTGTGGCATGTGGGACACTGCCTCAGCGTGGTTTGATGAGCGGTGCCATGTCCGCGCCCAGGATTCGAACCAATGAAACACTGGGTCGCCTGCAGCAGAGCGCACGAACTTAACCACTCGGCCATGGGGCCAGCCCGTAAAGGTCTTTAATAGTGATTTCATGACTGATATCCTTCTCTTTGCCCCAACCCTTGCCGGTTCCAGGATGTCTCCACACTCTTTTAGACATTTCCACATGGTTGTGCCACTCTTACCTTAAAACCAAGATGTCTAAGACTGTATCCATGAGCTTCTTTTTCTAACTAGTTTCCCTCACTGTTACCACTGTCCTTGCAGTTACTTGGGCTTGCTCACATTTTTGAAATTATTTTTGTCTTTTCCAGTCTGTCATCAAGTTACGCTAGATACTTCTTTCAAAATATCCTTGTATCTGTCACCACACAAATCTGAACTCTAATCTTTTAAATTATGGATTATGTCATTAGCCCTCTAACTGATACTCCTGCTTTTTCTTTTTTTTTAAAGATTTTATTTTTCCTTTTTCTCCCCAAAGCCCCGCAGTACATAGTTGTATATTTTTAGCTGTGGATCCTAGTTGTGGCATGTGGGTGCCGCCTCAGCATGGCCTGATGAGCGGTGCCATGTCCGCACCCAGGATCCGAACCGGCGAAACCCTGGGCCACCAAAGCGGAGCACGCTAACTTAACCGCTCAGCCACGGGGCCGGCCACCCCCGTGCTTTTAATATATCCAAATGCTGCTACCAGATTTATCTCCTAAGATACATCTTTCATCATGTCAGTCCTTTTTCAGAAGCTTTCCTTTCTCTGTAGTGGTAGTAATGTTCCTGTTCTATAGGATGAAACCCAAAATTAGAATTTTCGAGCTGAAAGGGACTTTAGGCATCGTACCATTTAATGGTCTTTATACTCTCGCTCTTGCTTTATCTTTCACTACTCATTAGGCCCCAGCCAGTCTGGTCTGCTTTGCCCTCTAAACCTGTCATATTTATTCATTTGCTGCAATGCTGTCTTCCCATATAAACATGAGTTTATCCTTAGTTCTTTTGGAGTACTTCCCTCAACCATTCTAGCCTGCTCAATTTCTTAATCAATTGATTGCTTGATTGAGCAAATATATATTAAGTGCCCTTATATGCCAAGCATTGTACTAGGTATTTGGGATATAGCAGTGAATAAAACAGAAGTCTCTGCTCTCATGGAACTTACATTTTCATTGGAGCAAACAGACAATAAACAAATATGTCAGGTGGTAATGAGGACTTTGGAGAAAAAGCAAACACCTTGAGATGCTGAGCGTGCCTCAGAAACAACAAGGAGGTTAACGTGGCTATCTCTAAATGGAGCATCACTTACTGATTGGATTATTTATTTAGGCATTTGAATGTATTTATATCACTCACACACACAGCCTTCTGTTGTTTAAATGTGTCATATATATATGTCTTACATTCCCAATTTTAAACTCTTTGAAGATAGAGATTATCTTTTATTCTGAATTTCTTATATGCTGTTGGTGTGCATGTAGATGCCTAGGAACTAATTTAAAAATATATATGTATATATGTGTATAAATATATAACACACGTTATAGTCAGAACTCAGTTTCTAGTTTCATTTGTGTTCTGTTTATGATATGGAGACCTGATACCTTCTAGTCTTTGGAGCACCTTTTAAAAGACTGTCTATTTGCCTGGCAAATGCAGAGAGAAATTACTGAAGGGTCTTTTTATAAAGGAGATCCTTTAGGACCATGATGTCACCTAAGGGGATAGGCCAGCTGTTCTATGCAAGAGACTGTATGGTCTGGACTCAGACCAGTCAGAGGTCTGTGGTTTTGTGGTTTCACTTGTGTTTAAATAATGCTAATACTGTGCTATAGCAAACAGAAAGATAGTGGAGAGAGTCTGTTAGGAAGAGACTATCTTGATCGTTTGGACCAGGTTGGTGTGTGAGCTGCTTGGATTTCACAACTTTTTAAATGAGGAAGGAGAAGCAAAAATTTGCATAGCATCTCTTATGGGCAATGCTATGATCAGGATTACACATTGGATTTGGGAGGAGACCTCTCTGGGTGCTATTTTTATTTTTATTTTTTGGAGACTTACTGGTCTAATGCTTAGAAAGTATCTGTGAGTTGTCTTAGTTTCTTAATCCTACCTATTCTGTCTTATTTAAATTGCTTTCAAATTGATCTTTCTAGTCTGTCCAAAAAATGTAAACATTGCTCTGTTGACTCTACTATTCCAAAGAGATATTTCTTTCTAAGAAGCATCCCTGAGAATTGTACTCTTATTAAGTTTTTTCTTGTGCTCTTCTCTTTTAAGGATTTTGTGGGAATAGTCATATAGCATTTTATTTGCCTATTGACCAAAATGTTTGAATTAAAGTGGAATATTAGATAAATCCTGTGTTCTTTTCAATATTCTTGTTTGTGTTAAGTAAATCCAAGCTTAGCCTGTACCCAGTAGTCCTTCTCTCAGAATTTGACAGGGCAGCCTTTTCAGATGTGGAAGTGTACTTTTTCAGCTTAAGTTGGTATCCACAGCCTATTGGTCTATATGCCACTCCATCTTATACCGTTTTGACTTTTGAGTTTTATTTCCTAATCCAGTAAGGCTGTTTTTCCTTCTCCTATTCTCTTCCTCTGTAGTACCAGCTGCAGTATCTTGTGTCCTGCCTGCTCAGAGATGTTTGCCAGCAGCATGTTCTTGTTGCTTTCCGGCACCCCACACAGATAGAGGCTTTGTCTGGAATGCTTGTGATTTTAGCCAGAGCCAGGAATTTTCTGCAGCTGAGTAGCGGGAGGAGTTGCGGCTGTTTCCCTCTATTGAGAGAGTAGGGGTTAGGGAGAGGGAGGGTGGGTGGGTGATTTCCCGGAATTTTAAATATTCCGCACAATGAAGCCTTTGATTTTTTTTCTCAGGAACAGGGCGGATACCTGACCAACTCGTGATCCTAGACATGAAGCATGGAGTAGAGGCAAAAAATTATGAAGAGGTATGTCCTGCTGTGACAGCCAGAGGAGGCAGTGGCACGCTGTGCTATGAGCTTTCTGTGACCTAGTCAAGCCAACCAGCTGTGCTTTTCCCAGAAGACTGGTTTTTCTCAGCAGTCATGTGACAACCAACTACAATCTTATTGATATAAAAAGTTGTATTAACAACTTTGAACAATAATTCTTACTGTGCTGTCAGCCAAATGACTGAACCAACCATCCCATAGAAATACGGGTGTGATAAAACACTCAAACATATGCATTAGTTCTCCTGAGACAGACACCAGATAGAGACATATTTATAATTTTTAAAAGCTGGAATTCATTTATATGTTAATGTCCAAGGTTAAGAAAAATGATTTGTTTTTAATTCCTAAGGCTTTTATTCCCAGACTGACAGGTATATAGGGCATGGATTCACTGCTGTTTAGACTAGAATATTTGTGCTGTCTTTGAGACACACAATAGTCAAAAGTAGCTTTTAGTTAAAATAATTTCAGACTTTTAAGGAAGAGAGCAAGATGGAAGAAGAAACTGTAAGAGACTAGGGACAGTGATAATGAATAGTAATTTTTGCTGACAGGAAGTAGTGTAGAGAATAAAAAGTGACATTTAGGTGGTGGGGAGGTGGAGGTGTGCGTAGAATAAGGGGAAGGAGGACTGAGCCTTTTTCGTCTCTATTATGAGAGACTTGGGGGCAGTGCAAAATGGTTTTTCAAATGAAGAGCACCTTTGAAAAACCACAAGAACTGTTTAAGACTAGAGGATTCATCTTTGCAGAAAGATGAGTATTTTTACCCAGATCAGTCTTTTTACAACAGTACCTGAGGCTGTGAAGAGTAGATGGGGTACAGGAAACGTAAATGGCTTTTGAAGAATGTAAACTAAATAAACAAAGGAAAGTTGTTTCAAGTGATTTAAGAGAATTTTCTAGAAATGACGGGACAGGAGAAGTTGCTCTTTCTTCATTCAGGACTGGGAAGGGAAATATCCTAAAATGGAAAAAGACTGGAAGTGACTGGCTAATTGCACAAGAAAGTACTAGTACAACAATTGCAGCTCTTCAGGTCTTTCCTCTTTTTCCTAGTTCAAGTGTTCAGTTGAACAAAACTGGCTTGAGTTATTTGTAACAGGCAATAAACAGGAGCAAGTGACATAGTAGTGAACGGAAGACTATTCCTGGTAGAGACTTTGATTTACAAGGAGCCTCTTTATTTGATGCACTTAAGAGTAAACTGAAAAATGCTTTTAAACTTTCATGATTCATAAGAATCCTAATTATATTTAAATAAGATAATGTCGGGCCGGCCCAGTGGTGTAGTGGTTAAGTTCATGTGCTCCGCTTCTGTGGCTGGGGTTCACGGGTTTGGATCCTGGGTGCGGACCTACACACTGCTCATCAGTACCTACAAAATAGAAGAAGATTGCCACAGGTGTTAGCTCAGGGACAATCTTCCTCAAGTGAAAAGAGGAAGATTGGCAGTGGATGTTAGTTCAGGGTCAATCTTCCTCACCTAAATAAATAACGAAGCGAGGAAGTGAGTGAGTGAGTAAGTAAGATTATGTTAAAGTGCTATTGTAAGGTATAAAACACTAAGAAAAATGTAGTTGTTTTGAGGTGAATCAGTAAAATGATTTTCAGTTTTTCATTACTGCTGCGATATTCTCAACTTCAGTCCATCCTCTAAGCAAGCATTCATTGAATTCCTACTATGTGGAATGTTACCAGTTGTAGCTTTTTTCCCCTAATATGATCACTATATTAAGGGATATGTATTAAATATAAGTAGCAGGGCTCTTGATTAGACATTAGACATAGCTTGTTCTCCTCAAACAGATGGGATTGTGAGTTTACATATAGAATGATGTGGACATGACTGTCATATAGCATTTTAGAACTCCTATATTTCCTGCAATTTCCGTCATCCTTAGACTTTGTTAACATCGGGAAAGGATTTTTATCTTTCCTGACCTTTTGCTTAACCCAACAGGGGAATCCCTAGCAGAAAGGAAACCACGGTGCTTCCTTTGCCTGCTTCCTGCTTCAGAAGTCTGGCACGTCCTAAGCTTTGCTTTACGCACATGGTTACAACAGCGCTAAATTCTGTTTCTTAACCAAGAAGCTCCTCCCACTACTTTCTTTGGCGACCTAACCCTTTTCCCCTCCAAAAAAGCAGACTGAATTGAGACAGAGGAGGAGAAGTGGTTATGACACAGGCCAAAGACGAGTCTTTTTCTCAGCCTATGTCTAGGCTCCCTTGAACCTTGCCTTGAAACAGCTGATAGTTGTCTCTGGGCTAATGCCTGTGACAAGAACATGGATAATAGAAGCACTTGTTCCCTGGTAATTACCAGACAGCACTGAGTATATGTAGAGGTTTTGAGGTATTTAATTTCAGGCCCTTGAGATAATGGAGAGACTTTATCTCCTGAGGATTTTGGCTCTTTGGCATCAGTATTTAGATTCAGGAAAATGGCACGTTTGTTTAATTTTCGTCGCATCCAATGTATCTTTCTCACATTTGTGGGCTTCATAATTCTGAAATCCCGTGTGGTCCTGTAAAATTCAGTAGTAATCAGTATCTTAATAGCTGGGCAGAGTACCACACTACCTCCTAAATTGTTATGGAGGATTTAATTAGTTAATGCATGTGGAATTGCTTGTAAACACAATACAAATGCAGGGGGATATTATTTGGAAGACAGAAGGGTAGCCACATTGTAAAGAAGCAGAGAGTCTTGTAGTTTGAATTCTTTAAAGAGAAAGAATGCTTGTGTCCTCAGAAGTAAAGCAACTTTGACTCCCTCTGTCGTATTTGAAGGACCTCTCAGCACTATCTTTTGCCTGTCAGAGGCGGGCATCTTTGTAGAATCAATCTGTGAAGCGAACCATTTCTTTTGAGTTTGAGGTCTGTGAACTAGAGCAGCTGTTTGCAGGGACTTACCATCTAATGTTGCAGTTGTGAGAATGGAGACAATTGCTGTCCCACAAAGGAGCAGCTATCTGACGCATCCTCTAACTCATGGGCTTTGTATGTCCCGACTTGCTGTGGATCTCAGCATCTTCAGCACAACGAAAAATCCCATTTTGCCTAGAGTTCTATTAGTCTGTCATTTGCTATCAACAGATACACCGAAAACACAGTTACCTGGTTGGAGCAACAGCTGAAGACTTTCCAAAAGTTTTATTTCTCGGAATGCCTTCGGGAAGGAGGAACTCGGGTTCTATATACTAGTCCAAAGTCCCATTCATGACATAAGTGAAATGAACTAACATGGGTAAGGCACCTGACACATAGTTGGTCAGTTCAGTAGATTTTAGCTCCCTTCTCCTACTCTTTCTGGAAACTGCCAAATGGCTATGACAGAGTAAATGAGATGTTGCTAAATTTCATTTAGCCTTAAGATTGGCAGTGTTACCTGGACTTATTTTGGCACACTGTTGACCTTTTGAGCTTCTGTGAAGAGAGCTGTGATTCACATACCCCTACACAAATAGACTTGTCCTTGGCTGTAGGTCTGTCTGCTTTATCGTGATTGCGTTAGACTAGATGGTCTCCACTTTTGTTGTGGTGCTTCTCAAATATGCAGGGGCTGTGATGAGTGGTGTGGAGGTAACAAAGTAATTTGACTGAGTTTGGCTTACCACAAGAAGCTTTTCTCTTGAGTCTCAGTGTTCCACCAAGGAAAAGAATCGAGTGGTTCTCTAGAGGCTGGATTCACATGCATTTTAAGAAGCAGTTTTTCAGAATTAACACCTTTCCTTGGTACGATTACATATAACTCCGAACTCTTTAGATTCAAATCATCATTAGAGGAGTGGAAGATTTGGATATAGTTTAAGAAGAGTAATTTTACAGTTATTTTGGAGGTGTGTAGATATGCAAGGAAAGGCTTTATAACTTTTAGGTTTTATAGACAGTACCTACTTTACAGATGAGAGTGATAGATACTGTGGTAGAGAAGACTTTCTCCTAGGCAGTGGGCCTTGTGAAAATGAATTCTGAGTGAAGGTAGATGCAGAGTGCTCTTACCATGCAGGAAGCACTTGCTTCAGGGGGCCAGCGGCACTTACTGTCTGCTATGAGAAAGTTGGCTCCATTGAAGAAGGCATAGAGTGGGCATAACAGTTAGAAGTGTTCACCGTATGTCGGGTGTGTGGGACTATACAAAGTGCATAGCGTTTTAAGTTTCTTGAGTTCAAGGGCCATATTGGTGGAGGAACAATAAAAATTAAAACGATGTGTGATGGAGTGTTAATTGTGTGGCACAGTCTAAGTGCTGTAGGGCTTTAGGGAAGATGGAATCAGCGTGGATAGGAGTGGTTAAAGGAGGCTTCATGGTTAAGGCTTGAGAGGTAGGATTTATATACACACTTGCATTACAGCAGAGCTTTAAGGTTTGATGCTGAAAAAATGCTTTGGGGACCCTGGGGAGGGAGTCGAGACCATGGTTCTGCTAGTCTTGGTCTTCCACCCAAAGGACTGAGTAACTTCATGGACTCTTCAGTTTCCTCATTTGTAAAATAAAATGAAGTCCCTTGTAGTTCTAATACTCGTTGATTATTTAACAGCTAAATGCAGCCTGCAAGGGGAATGCCACCCCCTAGCGGAGGTCCTGTGGTACACATTGTCAGATAGGCTTTGCTTTTATCAAGCTGTTGGCAAAACACATTTTTCCAGCCATGGAAGAGAGTAGACTAGAAGAATATGGCCTGCCTTCGTGAAACGTGTATAATTTCACATTCTTACAGATACTTTGAATGTTAAGTCAGATGTTTAGAAGAACAGAACAACAGGCAGCAGGGGTCTTGATAGAGGTTTTCTTGTCAGCTTTTTGTAGTATGATATAAAGTCTTGATGATACTCACCAAATGCTTAGTCCTGGGAAAGTGAAGAGGGTCTTCCTGAGAATACGTAGGATAATTTGTTTTAAAATTTTACTCTTTTTTTCAGGAAGATTAGCCCTGAGCTAACCACTGCCAAACCTCCTCTTTTTGCTGAGGAAGACTGGCCCTGAGCTAACATCCGTGCCCATCTTCCTCTGCTTTATATGTGGGACGCCTACCACAGCATGGCTTTTGCCAAGCGGTGCCATGTCCGCACCCAGGATCCGAACCGGTGAACCCCAGGCCACCAAAACTTAACCGCTGCAAACTTAACCGCTGGGCCACTGGGCCAACCCCGTAAAATTTTACTCTATTAGTCTGTAAAAATTAGAATAATAGCAGTATGAAACCTAGGAAGTGTGATAAATTGGACAACTTACCCAGATCCTTGTGGCCAAATATAGCTCGTTTACTTCACCTTTGATGCAGAAAAATTAAGTGTAGTCAACTGGTTTTCTTCATCGAATTTTTAGTGCTTACAGAATAAAATCTAAACTCAGATTTGGATTCCAGTCCCAGCTCCACCAAGCTCTGAGACCTTGGACAGGTTATTTAACACTCTAAGCCTAATTTCCTCATCTGAAAAATTTAGGGATAATAATATTCACCTTATATAGGGTTATGAGGATTAAGTGAGATTACAAGATACAAAATACATATCACATTCTAGGTATATACTAATAGGTCTAATTCATTATGCTACCTTCTTCATCTTCTTCCTCAGTTTAGCTCTAGCCTACCTTTTGACACTTCATTTGCTATTACCCACCACCTTCCCCCAAACGTGTGTGTTGACACATTAGTGTGTGCACGCGCATGCACGTCAGTCTGCTTATGACTAGACTACTCATGGTCTTCTAAACACGGCCTGCACTTTCTTCCCATCATGTTTTGGTTTGCAAGTTCCCCTCAGCCTTGAATGTCTTTCTCTCATCTCTTTCAAAATCCTGCGCAACCTGTGAGACCTAACTCACCCACTTCGTGTTCAGCTTATAACTTCCAACTATAATTAATCTCGTGCTACTTTCTTTCTATTCCACTTTTAATGTGTACCTTCGTTGTAAAAGTTACTACATAATGCCTTATATTATGGTTATAGCTGCTTATGTGAGTCTCCCCACCAGGCTGTGAGCTTCTTAGGAGCAGAGATCATAACTGATCTTAGTGCCTTGTACATAGTGAGCACTCAAAAAAGCATTGTTGTAAGAGTATTAAAGTGTTAAAAAAAAAAACACTTATTCTAAGAGTATTTGTTTATTTCTTAGACATGAGTGGAAGGGCAAAGTGAAGTGATTTATTAAAGTCAGAAATATTGGGAAAATAGTATGTCTTACTTTACAGCCTACCATATTAAAGTACTTGTAAGGAGGTTTTAATCAAAATTAAAGTATTAAAAAAGTGTGAGATGGAAATATATAAACAGTTTGTAGGGAAGGGGAGAAGCCCAGATTTTAAAATATGTTGTAGTAATGACAGAAGAGATTTTAATTTTGGTGAAAGTTTTTGAAAGACTCCTCTTTTGTCTTTTGTTCTTGACCAGAGCAGTTTTTTCAGGAAGCGGGTTCATAAGTCCTTTCTTTTTCAGATTGCAAAAGTTGAGAAGCTCAAACCTTTAGAGGTAGAGTTACGACGCCTAGAAGACCTTTCAGAGTCTATCGTGAATGATTTTGCCTACATGAAGAAGCGAGAGGAAGAGATGCGGGACACCAATGGTGAGAGGAAGGCGGCTTTTGTTTCTCAATAAGTGAACCAATAGGAGACAGATTCCCAAACTTTAAATTCTGGTGTACCCTTTTCTCAGTTTGCTGAAGGGAGGTTGTATGGAAGGATAATTGCTTACTTCGGTGTTGTTGCTGCTACAGGTAAATGAGCCTGGTTAGATTTCAAGGGAATAGAAATTTCTTCTGTGAGACACAGTTAGCTTTTAGTGTATCAAATTGATAGTACTAATCTTTGTAATTTTTAACATTTATATATAGAATAATGAAAATTTAAGAAAAAACTATCTGAAATTCTACTGTTAGGCCTAGGAATAGAGTGAAGTTAATTGCCTTTTCCGCCTGGCAGTTGGTTAGCCTGCTGTGCCTCACTTCATTACATTTACAATGCTTTTGTGTTTTTAGAGTCAACGAACACTCGGGTCCTGTACTTCAGCATCTTTTCAATGTTCTGCCTCATTGGACTAGCCACCTGGCAGGTCTTCTACCTGCGTCGCTTCTTCAAGGCCAAGAAGTTGATTGAGTAATCAGGCCCAGTCTCCTCCCACCTGTCTCAGCCAGCAGAACATCTCTGGGACATGCCTGGCCTAAGACATCCTACCAACTGCACCATCAAGGCATGTTGGAACTTGCTTGCCAGAACTGATCTCTTTTGGTGTGGGAGGACATGGGTTACCACCTACACCCAGCAAGTCAGTGAGGACTTCTTTTTAACTTGGTAGGATTTGAACTGGTTTTGCAACAATGGGACATTATTAGAGTCACCTATGACAAAAAATAGGGGTTACCTAGATAATGCCAAAGCCAGCATTTGTACTGGGTTTCCTCATATGATCTGTTTGAACCATGTTTTCTTTTCTTCTCCCACTTGCTCACCAGCTTGGGCTTCCACTCTAGTTCCTTTATCGAGATTTGTGTGACCATGTTGAACTGTTTCATTCTGATTGTCCTCTTTGGATTTCCATGTGCAAACATCCCTAACTTTCTCTTGACCCTTAGTTGAAGTGTTTAGGTGGCTTCTGGTGATATCCTTTCATAATTTTATGTCGCTTAAAAGGGTGATGGATGTGACACCTCATAGAAGTGAGCTCTGAACTCTAGATAAAATTAAAAGAAATTTCATTTCTTTTAAAAGAAATTAAAAGAAAATTAAAATTTCATTTTAGAGAATTAAAATATTTGTGCTCAACTGCTTGATCTTTTTTCTTTTTGTGTAATTGTGTTTAGTTCTATGCAATTTTATCACGTGTAGATTTGTGTGACCACCACAGCAAGGTGCGGAACAGTTCCATCACACAGATCCCTTGTGCTCCCCTTTTACAGCCACAGCCACAGCCACCTCCCTTCTTTACCACCAAGCCCCATCCTCTGGCAACCACTCATCTGTTCTCCATCTCTAATTTTGCCATTTCAAGAATGTCATATAAATGGAATCATATAGTATGTAACCTTTGAGATTGACTTTTTTCACTCAGCATAATTCCCTTGAAATCCATTCAAGTTGTTGCATGTATCAAGAGTTTGTTCCTTTTTCTTGCTCAGTAGTATTTCGTGGTATGGATGTACCAGTTTTTTTTAACCATTCACCTACTGAAGGACATTGGGGTTGTTTTCAGTTTTGGGCCATTAATAATAAAGCTATTGTTAACATTCATGAACAGGTTTTTATGTGAACATAAATTTTCATTTGTCTGCAATAATTGCCCAAGAGGGCAATTGCTAGGTTCCATGGTAAGCACGTGTTCATTTTTGTAAGAAACTGCTACTCTTTTTCCAGAGTGACTGTGCCATTTTATGTTCCCACTAGAAATGTATGACCAATCCAGTTTCTCTGCATCCTCACCAGTATTTGCTATATTATTATTTTTTTAGTCATTCTGATAGGTGAGTATAATGATACCTCATGGTTTTAATTTGCATTTTCCTAATGGCTAGTAATGTTGACTATCTTTTCATGTGCTTATTTGCCATCTGTATATCTTCCGCAGTGAAATACCTGTTCGTGTCCTTTGCCCGTTTTCTTATTAGATTGTATGTTCTTTTTACTGTTGAGTTTTGAGAGTTCCTTATATATCCTAGGTACAAGTCCTTTGTCAGATATGTTGCTGCTTGAATTTGTAACATAACTTCTATCAAGGAAAAAATAAGTAAAACTTAAGTCATCTTACATGGCCAGTCACTGACTTAATTCCATCTAGTCCTTATGTATTCCATCTAGAAAATTAAGACATATGAGGTATAAAAAATAACACATCTGGGAGGATCATGAATGGACTAAATACTTGAAAATACATGTTGTGAAAGCAAAGCCAAGAATTGCTGTGGGAATTGGCGGTGCCTAAAGGCTAATACTAATGTAAATAAGAGAAAGTGTGGATACAAATGACCATGTTTGTTAAACAGTTAGGAAAAATACTATCACGAAACTTTCCCAGTTCTCCCAGGAAAGTGGGTAGAAGTTTGTCCTTTCTGTAATCTCTTTTTTAACCCTGCTGACTGTTAGAGGGCTTGGCTAATTGCAGTGCAAGAATTATAGGATTTAGGGCCATGCAGCTTGCAGTTAAGCAGCACTTCAGAGTTAACAGAGAACACTGCTGTGATGACCTGGATAAAGTACAAAGGTGGAAGAGGGAGTGAGTTATGTTGTTAAAATCTCAGGCTGTTCTGTTAATGTTTCACCTCCTGGGAACCCAAAAGCCTTTTTTCCCCTTTATTTTGACTCCCTGTATGAATTCCTCTGGTGTGGCATGAAAGTGGTTCTTTCATTAATTTGTGCAACACTGCCATCTGCTGTTAAGAACTGATAGGTACTGTTCTGAGAACCAGGCAGCTGAATCCTCGCCCTAGGGGCAGCAGATGTTGAGCAGGCCTATCTGTGGGATTACCTATACTAACCGACAGAGGATGCATCCAAGTAGGGAAAAGAATAACCAAATTTGTGCGTTAAGTTCTATCCTTAGATGTTTAAAGGTGAAATTCTAATCTGTACCATTTAGCCTAACAAGATATGCTTTCATATTTCTGATTGGTGCCTTTCCACTTTTTAGCAGCAATGAAAGCCACTTAGTTGGTTATAGTCTTCTGTTCTGACAACATGTCAAGAAGATAGGACAGGACAATATTTTATTTTGCTGATGTTTTCGTTCCCAAATGTGACTTTGTGAAACTGAAATTCTTTCATGTCCTTTCCCTTTCACTCATGCCAAAACAACCAGCTCGGACATTTGTGTTTTTGGTTTAAAGTTCATTGATATTACACCTTGATTTATCTAAAAGTTAAAATTATTTGCCTTGATAAAAGGCTAGTGCAAGAGCAAATCAGCTTTAAAAACGAGGATGTTATCTGCTTTCCTTCATTTTTGAGCCTGTTATTCGACACCATCTGTGTAATATAGATGAGAATGATCCGGTTTAAGTAAGTTTTGTTATACCATTGTCATAAACCCCATCATAAGCCGTTTTTCTGTTTAATGGAAAGAGGCATGTGGATTTATACGGATTCACTTGTAAGTGTTGGATTGGGAATTTTTTGTGTAAATTTTCTCAAATAAAGGCTAGCAGAAACCATTTTAGGTGTATTTTTCTGTTACTCTTGAGTACCTCTTTGTCTGGATTGGTAATAATCCCTGCATATTCCTCAGTTTTAAAGCATGGCAAATTATATGTGATGAAATAGAGAAAAAACATTGTTGTCCATAATTTACGCCAGATGGATAAAGTTTATGTGAGCTAGTAAAAGTTTATTATATTTTATATGTAAATATGTAAATTATACAAGATGTATTTAAAAATAATGATGCTTAATTATACATCTTCAGAAAGACCAAATAGGGTTCTGTAAGCCAGGCACTCTCTGTCAGCATCTCTCTTTTGGAAATTGCTATTGGAATTATTCCCACAGAGGATCTCCCTTGCCCTCCATCCTTAAAATACCCCTCCCAAGTTAGAACCCCTCAGGACTTGCTTTTTTGGCCCATCACATCTATGCAAAACCCTATCCCAGCAGCTGAAGGTGATGGGGTGAACCCCATCTCCTTTTACTTGTGGTTGAACATTTTTCATAAAGCCTCTTTCCAAGAGTCAACTTCAAGTGCTTTGCACATTCACTGGCTAGCCTCTTATTTACCCCCTACCTCCATTTCCCCCAAAAAACATAATAAATTTGTCAGTGACTCTATAGTCTATAAAGTAGTGGTTCCCAGTATTTGAGTATAAATATTTTAACATCGAAAACTTCTTATTTCTCACTTATGTTTTACTTTTAGAGGACATAAATAATGAATTCAAAACTTATAACTAAATTTAATAGTCTCAACAGTATCACATTCGTACCAAATGGTAGTACATCTTCTGCAAATTATTCAGTCTGTTGCAGTGGCGTCCCACATAACATGAGTCCCATGTATAATTTTAAATTTTCTAGCACCACATTAGACAAGTAAAAAGAAACGTGAAATTAATTTTAATAATATATTTAGTCTATTTATTTTTTAATGTTTTTCTTTTGAGGAAGATTAGCCCTAAGCTAATGTCTGCTGCCAATCCTCCTCTTTTTTTGCTGAGGAAGACTGACCCTGAGCTAACATCCCTGCCCATCTTCCTCTACTTTATATCTGGGACGCGTGCCACAGCACGGCTTGACAAGCGGCACATAGGTCTGCACCTGGGATCTGAACTGGCGAACCCCGGGCCACCAAAGTGGAGCATGCAAACTTAACTGCTGTGCCACCGGGCCAGCTCGATATAGTTAGTGTAATATATCCAAAATAGCATTTTAACCTGTAGTCAATATAAACACGATTAATGAGATGTTTTACTTTTTTTTTTTTTAAAGATTTTTTTTTTTTATTTTTTCCTTTTTCTCCCCAAAGCCCCCCAGTACATAGTTGTATATTCTTCGTTGTGGGTCCTTCTAGTTGTAGCATGTGGGATGCTGCCTCAGCGTGGTTTGATGAGCAGTGCCATGTCGAACCAACGAAACACTGGGCCGCCTGCAGCGGAGCGCACGGACTTAACCACTCGGCCACGGGGCCAGCCCCTGTTTTACTTTTTTTTTTTGAGGAAGATTAGCCCTGAGCTAACATCTGCTACCAATCCTCCTCTTTTTGCTGAGGAATACTAGCCCTGAGCTAACATCTATGCCCATCTTCCTCTACTTTATATGTGGGACGCCTGCCACAGCATGGCTTGCCAAGCGGTGCCATGTCCGCACCGGGGATCTGAACTGGGGAACCCCAGGCTGCCGTAGCAGAACGTGTGAACTTAACTGCTGTGCCCCCTTTTTTTTTTTAGGAAGATTAGTCCTGAGCTAACATCTGCCACCAATCCTCCTCTTTTTTGCTGAGGAAGACTGGCCCTGAGCTAACATCTGTGCCCATCTTTCTCTACTTTATATGTAGGATGCCCACCACAGCATGGCTGGACAAGCATTGCATAGGTCCACACCCAAGATCTGAACCCGTAAACCCCTGGCCGCCGAAGCAGAACATGCAAACTTAACTGCTGTGCCACCGGGCTAGCCCCTACATTCTTTTTTGAATATAGTCTTTGAAATCTAGTGTGCATTTTAGAGCTAGCTATAGCACATCTCCATTCAGACAAGCCACAATTCAAGTGTTCAGTAGGTGCATGTAGCTAGTGGCTATCATATTGAACAGAGAATAGATACAGACTTTGCTTGGTACTTTGGTAAATTCTTTAACTTTTACAGTAACAATGGCCCCTGGGGATCTGCCATTCACAAGTGGAAACTTCTACTATATAGCATCCTAACTATTCACTTGTTAAAATATGACATGGAAATAATCCATTTTTGACCAAAGGCACTTTAAAATCAGTTATAGCTTTGGAATGTTCAGTATTTCTGGGTTTATAAATATTCAAAGGTCAGATATTTAGTCTCATTTATATCCAGTATAATAAAGAAGTGAGCATGAGGGTTTCTGTTCTGTATTCTCTAAGATGGAAAAGGACGTTTGTCTGTTAAGTTTGTATCTATACATTGTAACTAGAACAATTCACAATATCAGGCTAACCAGGTTACAGAAAATGATTTAGTTCCTCCTTGCAAAGATGCCAGAAAAATGAATTTTTAAGCTTTGGCTTCAGCTTCTCTAAATGAAAGTCAATATTTCTGATTTTAAATAACTATTTTTTCCATCTTGTAATTCAAAAAAACATTTATTGAACATCTGTTTAATGTGCTGGGCTAAACTCTGGAGTAGACCCAGATAAATAAGAAACAATACCTATTCTCAAAATGTCTTCTAATTCATAGGAGGTGGTAGGTGGAATAGCCTACTTTGGTTAGCCATCACTGACTTAACATTTTGGATATTCCTCCAGGAAGCCTTCCCTAACCCAGCAAGTTTGGCTTGGAAAGATGCTCCTCCTAATGCCTTTCTAGAAGCTTGTACTTTCCTTCTAATAGCACTTATACACTGTAGTAGTTGCCTGGTTATTTGTCTGTCATGTGGACTGTAAGCTCCACGAGAGTAGGAACCATGTTTATTTTGTTCCCTGTTGTAACCTAGCACAAGTTGGTACTCGGTGTTTGTTGAATGAATGAATTGAAAATTCAAAAATATCCTTATAATCTAGAACCCTGGAATGAAACAAACAAAATAAAATTTAACAGGCATTATCAGTCAGTCTTGCA